GAATTAGTGCTCTCCCTTTATCCCATCCAAACTGCACACACACACCCGGCCGGAGCAGTGGGCAGCAATTTTGGCTGCTGCACCCAGGGAGCAGTTGGGGGTTTGGTGCCTTACTCAAGGGCACCTCAGTCACCGACTCTTTAACCATTAGGCCACGGCTTCCCCACAAGTCACCATACTTTTTTTAATTCGCTTTGGTACTATTTTTACATGAAAGTTGTACATTTTCAAAACTCTTAGTGCAAAAATCCGAACTGATCACACTTAGTCACTGCTAGTGTGAAAACCGCTAGTCAGTCTTTCGAAACCTGATCTCATGCTTTCATTAGTTATATATATGTTTTCATTCCACATGACCATTACTTAAATCACATGAAAGATTATTGTTATATGTAATGGCAAAATGTGGTTTAATCACCGAAACAAGAGTATGATCTTCTTTCATTTTACAGTCAGTTCATTCAGTAGCAAACAATGCAAAATACATCAGTTAAATCACCCTTGTTGGTGAATTAAATATGCTACAGTAATATAGGCTACAGTTGTCACGTTCGAAAACACACTTACATTACCTAACTTACATAACTGACATAAAATCGCTCTGGTTACTAATGTAACATCGGTTTACTCTGATACTGGAGTCTGATTTGTTCACGTTTGTGTAGCTGCACAAACCAATGGCACTTCAGCCCGCCAAAAGGGGAGGGGCCAACCTCTATACATCTATTTCGACTGATGTGACAGTCATCGATTCACGTGCAGCCTTATACTTATAACACGGCAGCATATGCAAAAGTCGTTCCCTTATCTCAGGGAACCGAGGTTACGTTAGTAACTGGAGCGTTCCCTTTCGAACGATCTCTCCCATCACGTTGACAACCTTATGGGGAACACGTCCAATAGCGCCGTGCAGAATGAAGCCGCTCTGCGAGCCCAGCCCCAGAGCACTTTTATATAGCAAATCTATAGTTGTACCAATGATTCACAGATTAAAAGATTAGTTCACTTTCAAACTAAATTTCCTGATAATTTACTCACCCCCATGTCATCCAAGATGTTCATGTCTTTCTTTCTTCAGTCGAAAAGAAATTAAGGTTTTTGAGGAAAACATCCCAGGATTTTTGTCCATATAATGGACTTCAATAGTTACCAAACGGTTGAAGGTTCAAATTGCAGCTTCTGAGCAGTTTCAAAGGGCTCTACACGGTACCAGACGAGGAATAAGGTTGTTATCTAGCTAAACGATCGGTCATTTAAAAAAAAAAATAATAATGTTTATGCTTTATAAACACAAACGCTAGTCATGCACTAGCTCGACTTCAAGCATTACGTAATCACATTGGACAGGTCACTCGTGATGTAGGCGGAAGCACCGTCCCAGCGTTTACAGGAATAAGGGTCTTATCTAGCGAAACGATCAGTCATTTTCTTAAAACAATAAACATTTATTTACTTTTTAACCACAAATGCTCATCTTGCTCTAGCTCTGCTTCACGCATTAGGTAATCCCGTTGGAAAGGTCAAGTGCGGTTAGCTCTTCGTCTGTGTACTCCAGTTCAGAAAGGTAGAGTAGGGCGAAAAACTCCATCTCATTTTCTCCTCCAACTTAAAAATCGACCAACATCGTTGTTTTATCTTTTTTTGTAAAGGGCGTTTGACTTTCTTTACACGTTCACTTTGTAAACGCTGGGTCAGGCATTCTGCCTACATCACTCGTGACCTTTCCAATGTGATTACGTAATGCGTGAAGTCGAGCTAGTGCACGACTAGCATTTGTGGTTAAAAAGTATATAAATGTTTATTTTTTTTTAGAAAATGTCGAATTGTTGTTTCGCTAGATAAGACCCTTATTTCTCGGCTGGGATCGTGTAGAGCCCTTTGAAGCTGCACTGAAACTGCATTTTTCTTTGCGACTGAAGACATGAACATCTTGGATGACATGGGGGTGAGTAAATTATCAAGAAATTTTTATTCTGGAAGTGAACTAATCCTTTAACTATTTTTTAAATTAGTACTAAAAGTTTTGAAATTACCTCTTGCTTGAGTGAAAATGGCACCAATTCAATTAAAAACTATTAAAAACTAATACCTAAAGTCTGCATATTAGACCTTAAGGGTACCACCCGAGTGACAGCTTTTGAGTCTTCCCAAATGAACACTAATTTACACTGACTTTGTATGCTTGTACATGATGTGTGACAAATGTACAAGAATGTCCTATTGAAATATTTAAGATATATACTGACAAACACAGTACCTACTCAGTCAAATTTTACATTAACCTACTGTATACACACATAATTGTCTATATTATATATTGTGTTTCTGCTATTTTGTACATTGTCTATTTTATTTGTATATTATTCTTTTTATTATCTGTGTCCTGTCTTGTCACTGTCATTCTGTTGCATTGTGGAGCTTCTGTCACTAAAACAAATTCCTCATATGTGTAAACATACCTGGCAATAAAGCTCATTCTGTTTCTGATTCATTCTGATTCTGATTCTGATTCTGTATTAATTCACAGGCGGTCTGCCATTTGAGGATTTACACACTATTGAATAAACTGTATGGTCCGTTTCAGTGTCAAGCGATGTTGTTTGGTGTTGTCCAATTGTACTGTAGGTGGTGCTGGGGTGATTATTTTTTTGCATCTCCGCTGGTATCTGTGAATTGTTAAGCCATATTAACAATGCAATAAACAAAACCAGAAAATCCTTGAAGTCAAATTAGGAAATGTATTCAGACTCAACATATTTATACAGTTAACATGTTACTATTTTTAACTTAAATTCTGCCCGATGGATGTTTTTGTCTCTTTCTTACCTCAGAATTGGACATTGTCTGACTGGTATTGTGAGTGTGTCTGTGTTCTTGTGTAAATCCATACGCAGTTTGAGGATTCGCTGATTTCTCCAACATCTCCAGGGGTCTTTGTACTTTGCTCTTTGGCTGTAGAATAATCCAATCAAACAGTCATACAGATCCTTCTATACCACTTAATATTTACATGCACATTTAAATTTACATGGTTAATAGTGTTTGGACACTCACTGCTGCTTCTTCCAATGAAGACAAGTTTTTAATAAGAAGGCTTCCAATGTTACTCAAGTCAAGGGAATTGTGAGCAACATTTGTGGCCCTTTTCAAATTCAGCATGATAGTGGCCTTGTACACAAAGCAAGACCTACATAGAAATGGTTTACTGTGTTTGGGCTGGAAAAACTTGATGGCCAGACCTGAACTGAACTGAAAAGCTGACTGATGCTGTTGTGCATATGATCCATACAGTCATGTTCCAACATATAGAGCAGTGTTCTTTAATAGTATAGTGTATGCATTCCTTTACATGTGTAGTGTTGGCTATCCATATAGGCTACATTTGGCCATATAGTGTATGTTCTGAAACAGTCATTGCTCTGATTAATTACACAAAGTGTATGATTGCATTAAAGTGCCAACAAAAAAATTCTTTAAAAAACAGAGATGCCCAAACCAGGGTCTACAGGCCGAAGTTGGCCCACGATGACCTCTGATTTGCCCTGCCATGCCATATCATGCCATAATAATAGTGGGAAAACATGACATTGGAAATCTTCATTTCTAATTTATCTTTGTGTTTTAAGACTTTTTTTCTATTTTTGCGTTAAAATTTAGAGAATATACTGGAAATTAATTAGATTTTTCATAATATAAGATCTTAATATATTTGGATATAATGCAAAATTTACTTTCGGCCCTCAGCCTTCAATCAAGTTTGATTTTTGGCCCTTTATACTGAAAAGTTTGGGCTCCTCTGGTGTAAAATTAAGTAGATATTTGGTGGATGATTTTATCAGAATTTATCAGTTTTCCAATAAACTTATTACATGTAAAATTATGATGATGATGACTCATGTCACGTTCTTTCTAGGGCTCAAACCACCCCTGAGCTACTGGACACACAACCTCCCAAATGTCCATCACATGACTCATGAGGATTCTTGAATTAAGAGCAATTATAATCTGTCATGGCTGCACAAAAAAAGATTAAAATCGGCATAAACGGAAGTTGCCGTTATCTTTTAATCAATGTTGTGATGTATATCTGAGTGAAATGGCTTCTCGAATGAGAAAATAATATAGAGCGGGACTTGGTGTTGTCCATCAGGAATTAATTGGATTGCTGTTGTTTGCTATTGCTGCAATCACATGTGAGTGACGGGCTGCTGGAGGGGAGCGGTTATTGCTCCGCCTTCACACCAGTGCACACGTCATCAGCGTAGAGATGCTGATGCAAGGAGAGGGGAAATTCATTTGATTACATGTTATGAGGACACGTACATTTGAACAAATGAATAATGTGCATGGATAAATCATATATAATAAACACGGCAATATTCCATTAACAAATAAGAATTATGATGTCATGGTGAAGTAGTATTTTGAAGCTTACCTGAACTTGTGCATAGATTGTATGATCATTCTGCTGGGCACCTAAGAGATTTAGAATAGTATTATTATAAAGAATCTCCTGTCAGTTACTATCACCATAGATCCTTGGTTTCTCCACTATGAGGCACCATATAAGATTTACATAAATCTCCATACACAAATGTGAAATAGTCAAACATTATGTAAGTGTTGTGTAGATGTAAAGTTCTAGATCTGACGCTGGTGTGTATAAGCTTTTCATATGTATTTGTTTGTGCATTCAGTATGTGACTGCTTCACCTTTGTGTATTCAGAGATTCATGTAAGCGCAAGTAAAATTGTAACTGGTGCCATAACTGGTGCCTCACATCACAACCATTTTGAATCCCATAAAGCTGTTGTTCTGAGGATATAAGCTCTTGATAATTTTGTAAAATATTTGAGATAAAAGATAAACATACCTTTGTTATTATTCTTGCATGAGCAGTATGTTACAGCAGTTGCAACTAAAACCAACAATGAAGCACTTATAACAATGACAATGAGCCAGTGGAGAGGAAAATAACTGTTGTTGTCTCCTGTTGTCTGTTGATTCTCATCTGAAACAAAAAACATTATATTAACAACTACAGTCATTAGAACACTCCAGAGGTAGTGAGGATAAATGGCTAATAAATTTTAAATGCATGACTAGAAAATGCATTTATATGCTTTGCATTGGGTTTGTGGGTCACTTATTTACTTTGATAAGGTGTACATAGGTGTTTAATCTGTATTGTGTTATTCTTCCAGCTGACTGGGTTGCTATAGTTACAAATAACTATGTCCTCTTTACAATACAGGGTTAGAGTCTGTATTTTAAATGATATATTTTCCTTCTGGCTGCAGTTGTTGTTGTGGTAGATTTCTCTGATTGTACGATCATGCCCACTACATGAGACATTCACAATACAGGAGTTAACAGCGATCATGGTGACGTTCCAGTTAAGAACAGGAGAGTCCACTGGATCTGAAACATATTTATGAAAACTGCTGCATGAGAATGCATCGTATATGACAGACCCTAGAAAGTTTTTTTTTTACAAACTTTTTTGTGTAGCAAATTCAAAAGTGAAACTGAAAAATTTGCTTTGGCCAAAAGGTACAAATTTGCATTTTCTGCAGAAAACATTGAAACTCTGCAAGATTATGAATTAATTTAAGCACGTACCCTTTATTCTTGATACTGGTTTTTAATGTGGTTTAACATGCAACTCAGACTCACCTATAACAGATACTCTGTATTTAGCAACATTTATATTATTCGATCCAAATATTTCTGCTGTGTAGAGTCCACTGTCTGTCTTTTTCGTGTTCTTCAGTGTTAGCGAGAAGGTTGACAGATTGAAAACCACACTGTAGTTGTTAATCTCTGTCTCTACAGTTTTCTTACTGAATGTCACAATATTTTCTGATTCATGATTCATCCAGACCAGTGTATCAAAAGGTAGTAGTTTATCAGTCTGTATGTCCAGTTGAACAGAACTTCCTGTCTGCACAGAGACGGCATTTTCAGCTTTGCACACGGATGCTAGAAACAGAGAGGATAATGGAAAAGATTAAGGTAAATGTCCAATTGTTCAACAAATATAGTACACAAAAGTGTAATATTGGCATAAAAATTCCATCTTTTTGTTGCAAAACTTATTCGATATGATGAAAACAAACCAAATTTAATTAAAAAAAATTACATTTTGTGCTCACCGACTTTTATAGCAAGGTTTTTATCTAGCTGTTTGCTATAATAGTAGGGGAAAGTAAGCGAGTGTAGTGCTGTAGAACAATTTCTATGTTCTATGTTCTCTTTTTAGTTCTTAAAAAGAATCCTGAATCATCAATGCATGAAATAAATAATAAAAAACCATGTGATAAGTGTTATTGATTAATTTTTTATAATAATTAGAGATAATAATAATAATTTAAGAATAATTTTTCCTATAATATTAAAGGGGTCATATGATGCGATTTCAATTTTTCCTTTCTCTTTGGAGTGTTACAAGCTCTGTAAGAAGATCTGTCAACAGTATTTAAACAGTAATTTATATTTCAAATAAATAATCCTGGGATATGTTTAAAAGTCATGTAGTAACCTCCCATTTCAATGCACAGCAATGATTAGCAGACACGCATATCAATGGTGACATTAATAAAAATGGTGAAAGTCATTAATTACTATCTCTACTGTATCTAGTTATGCAGTAGTCATGCTATTCCTGTGAAGAGAATGATTTTCATACCTGTGGTGGAGATCAGCACTGCGATGAAGATCATGAGCAGATGACCAAAAGCCATTGCAATAAACGGCCTGTTCTGCTGTGATTATACGGTGCATATTAGAGAAAACTTTGTGTTTTATATCACCTTATTAAAACTGTCCACGCAGTGTCACTCACCTTGGAATATATGACATACAATATGTAAATATATGAATACTGTCTTTTCTATTAATTTGAGCACATTTAAAACTCTAGTCTATGCTTGAAAACCAGTTCTGTTACCATTAACTGAATAACTACCAGAACTGCTACACCAACCAAGTCAAAAAGCAGCTTAGAAAAGAGAGGAGGAGCTAGCTGCTTTCTGCAACCACATTGTCTACCACAGGAAACTAGCCCCTAGTTGTGAGAGCAAGTGTGGCTGTTCATATCTAAGTTCACTTTTAAGTTTCTTCAAATACAGGTCCAAGGTCTTATCTTCGTCTAACTCTACTTGTTACAAAAATATGAACATGACCTTTAAATGATCAGAAATATTTATTGTAAATTTAAATGAATAATATTTCATATTTGAAAGTTCAGAATTGAGTGATAAATGCCTTTTTGTTTTGCCTTTTGTTCAGTTTAATAATTAAAATGAGCTAAAGTAACACAATTTTTGTACATATTGTAACAACTTAATTTTATTTCGGTTAACACTACTTAATATATTTAAAATTAAAGTTTACTTAATTCATTTGTGTTAAAACTACATGAATCATTTTTGCGGATATAACTAACCGGGCAGTGGATCTGTAATTCCCATCATGCTTTGCAAGGGACTGAGTGTTGTAATGTTTTTTAATTTTGTGGTTACCATTATGCAGAAGACTGTTGCCTGTGCTTAGGCTGTAGACACTCAAAATGTAGCTTTTATATACATTGTATATAATAATGAACACAACTGCTTGGTGAACATAAGAGAATTAATTAAACTTCAGTAAGTTGATTTAAAAAAAAATGGTCCCACATAAGAAAATTTATTTCGAGAAACGTAATAAAGTTAAGTTGAAAATACTAGAATAAATTAATTTGACCTAAACCAACTAAATTGTGTTGCCCCAACTAAACAGATGTGTTTAGAATTAACTAAATTAAATTGTGTGTAAAGACTTCAATTAAATTAAGTAAGGGTAATAAATTCATTTGAGTGTAGTTGCAATGTACAGTAACTGATGCATGTGTGCTTTATAACCGCAAACAAGGCATACAAACCACACTTAAGACTAATTAAACTAAAAAAAAAAAAGCATTAAAGTTTATTTTCACTGCATTTATTTTAGATAAATTTCTCCCATGCTTCTTTGAACTTTCCCTCCGTATACTTCCTCACTTATTCACTATACAGTTTAATTTAAATAGGTGGGAAAGTGAACTGAACATAGGCACTCACTGCATATTGGAATGCCCTGTTAAGTCTACTTCACATCACTATCGTGCAATTGGAACTTTAAAAGATTCCACACTGGTATGACAACTCATTGCCATATCAACACCTACTGTAGAGAAAACCACCGCCAAAAAGTGTGTTGTGGCAGATATATACATATTTATGAATTGGTATCAGCTGGAAAATCCAAAATTTATTTTTTTAATGTGTAGAGGACATAATCTTTCAGATGGGGCTAGAGAGTTAGGTGCAAATATAAATTAAGTGTTGTACTGGTGCATTACATTGTCTCCTCCTTCATATGCTCTTGGGATCTTGAAACTTTTTTTTTTTAATATAGCCTACTGTATATTTTGTATATTACAAATTTTGGTAGACATATGTCTATGAAATGTAAACAGACTTGGTAAATCAACATCAACAAATATGCAATTGACATTGTAATGAGCACATGTTGACAAAATAAGAAACCTTTTTTTTTTTTATCTTTATTCATATCACAATTTAGAGCATTATTGTACTCAGTGTAGAGGTAAGTAATATCCAAGGAAGAAAAATGGTAGTGGGTGATCCATGGTTATCTGCAAAAAAAAAAAAGAAAGAACAAAAAAGAAATATGTAACATTTAAAGTCTGGAGATAGAAAATAAGATTTGACATTTTAACAGTGAAGCTGAGAAATGTCTTATGAATGATTCACAACAGGAGAATTATATGCTATTGTCAAGTGAAACATGGATTAACACATATACAGAATTATTCAATGTAATGCTCACAAAATTGAATCCCACCATTTAACTGGGTTGCTATTGCTATGGATACCAGCAACAAGAAAAAGGTTGGTGTGAAAATCCAGATTTAAAGGGGTCATATGATGCGATTTCAATTTTTCCTTTCACTTTGGAGTGTTACAAGCTCTTGGTGCATAAAGAAGATCTGTAAAGTTGCAAAGACTAAAGTCTCAAATCCAAAGAGATATTCTTTATAAAAGTTCAGCATCAGCCACACCTACCTAAAACGGCTCATTCTAACACGCCCCCACATATCTACCTCACTATGTGGGAAGATTTGCATAACGCCGCCCAAATGTTCACGCAAAGAAAGAAGGCGTAACTTTTATTCTCACTATAGTAATGTTGACGCTGCAGCCATGTCGTGAAGACGCTGTGTGCTTCGTTGTGAAAGCGAAACTACTTTGTTTGGTCTTCCAAAAGAGGACGATATCCGCTTCGTCATGCCTAGAGCTGATTCGTGCTGGTCGCTGAGAGAATACATCAACTTTCACCGTGGACGAAGCGGAGTTCAGCCCGGGGTCATCACATGTGGTTGCCGCTCATTCGTTGGATCCGCCGGGCGCACCATTCTCGACCCTGCCGCCTCAGCTCACTCTATCCCGGCCTCAGCGCACGCTAAGCCGGGGCTTCCCCTCACGCTAGCCTGGCCTCAGCTCACTCTAGCCCGGCTTCAGCTCACTCTATCCCGGCCTCAGCGCACGCTAAGTCGGGGCTTCCCCTCATGCTAGGCCGCTGTGTTTTTCGTTGTGAAAGCGATAATGTTCTTTTTAGCAGCATCATATGACCCCTTTAAGTAATGCCACTTCCCTCTGAGAGCAGAATCTGCTTTGGCTAGTGTTGATTTTAAGGTTCTAAATTCTACACTTACCAACAACAGATACGTTATACTGACAAACAGTTTTGGTTTTTTTTCCAATTGTTGTTGTGCAGTAAAGTCCGCTGTCTGTCTTCTGCATTCCCATCAGTGTTAGAGAGAAATTTGTAGTATTGAACACCACTCTGTCCTTGTACGAACTGGCAGGGTCAGTGGCTTTAGTCTTATTGTAGTATGTCACAATGGTTTCTGAGTGATTTCTGGAAAAAGGTGTTTTCATCCAGATTAACTGTAAAAACTGTGGAAGCTCTTCTCTCTGAACAAACTCAAAACGGTCCCCTGCACGCACAGACCGATTCTGGGGCTGGATTTCAGCAAAGGATACTGCAGGGAGGGAAAATAAAATTTAGTTTGAAATAGATCAGATCCACTACGCAGGGAATTTTGGTGATACCTGCATGCTGGATGTTTTTAACACGTATGCGCCTTAGTGAATTTGGTGTCATAATGAAAGTTTAAGTTTTCCTACCCATGTCTGCTACAGACCGTAAAGTCCCTTTTGCACACAGACTGCAAATCATAGCAATTACCAGCAGCGTAAATCCAGCAGTCTCAGACTGGGGAGAATAGTTCTAGTGGTGGGAAATGGTTAGGCATTTATTATAGAGTGGGGTTTACCATTTTAGTGAGGATAGGGTTAGTGGTGGGAGGCCATTTGGTATCATATAAAATGAAAGGATTTTTTTGGTCACACTTTATTTTAGGTCCAATTCTCACTATGAACTATTAACTATGACATTTGCCTCTATAAACTGCAGAATAAGGCATTAAAATGTCCTTTATAATTACTCATAAACAGCCATATGGTAGTAATATGCATGCTAGTCCCTAAAATAAAGTGTAACCAGTTTTATTTATTCATTTATTTTTTGTAGGCTATACATGTGACAAGGAGGCCTGTCCACCCGTCAGGAAAAACAAATTCTGATTACTAGTTACCCATTCAGTGAGTACAGCAGGGGAAAATATTCAACAGATTGACCTATTTTAACAATGTAAAACATGCTGAAAAGCTGTTTATCAACCATCAATTTTTCTTAATGTTCATGAAACTATATTTTGCATTTTTGAAAGAATAAAGTACTATGCAAATGTCTTAGGCATGTTACATTTTTCATCAAACAGTTTGCTTTACTGTGCCAGTAGGAAATATCAGTTTACTTTTCCAAACCTTAATTTTGTTTTTTATTTTTAATATTCCAGTGAGATTTTTGTTTGCACAAGGACTTTGAAAAAAGATGGTCTACACAGAAATCTGATCTCACCATCAAGTCTGTTTGGGATTACACGAAGAGACATCTACTCGTTGCTTTTAAAACTGTGCTGGGTGCACTTGTGCTCAATTTTTGAGGTAGATTTGTAGATAGATTTCTCCACTGTTGTTATGGATTTAGTCTGTCTCAGTTTTTTTCTGCATCTTTATGTAATCCCAGAGGGGCTCAGTGATGCTGAGATCAGATTTCTGTGTGGACCTGTCTGTTGTCAGACTTCTCATTCATACAAAGCTCTCCCTGGATTTTTACACTTAATAGCAGAAGTAATGTTTGGAAATATAATCAATTGACTTAGTCTCATTGTCAAATGGCTCCTGACATAAAAAGAAAAAAAAATGTTGTTCCTCATTTTAATTTTGGTGAAATATATAGAGCAGCCAGTTGAAGTTCTGTTAATAAAATTGTAATGTTTTCCAGTCACTTTAAAGGGGATCTATTATGCAAAATTATTATTTTTTTTACATTGTATTTATTTGAACATAATTGTGTGTACACAACCATCCTATAATGGTAAAAATCCACCCACTTCTCTTTTTTTAAGTCAGAAACAGTGTCTCGAAATTAATTGTTAATGTCTGCTTCCTTTTGTGATGCCATAAATGGGTTTGGCCCCGCCCACAACTGGTGATAGACTTTGCGACCAAACTGCCAAATATATTGTGATTTGAACCATCACATACTTACACAAAACTCTTCACACCTACTA